CCCAAGTCACCCCCTGAGGATCATTTATTAAGTGCTCAACTCGTGCCACTGGCCCACAGAATTTACAAGTGTGACAAACAAACACGTAGGGTGTAAGTAAGCATGTATTCAATAATTTCTTAACATCTGCCTATCACAAACTGTCACCAGAGCTGTCTCATGGAAAACAGCCCCCCTGTCCCCCATACTTATATTTACAACAGGGCATGGAGACTTCAGCAACACAGGCAACCCCATTTCAGCTTTGTGACACACAGGTGTATATGCGGGGACAGCCCTCACAAGCTATGTCAGAAAATGGCTCCCAAACACCGCTCCTACAATGGTGGCATGGCAAAGCTTCAGGAGGATGGTCAACTTACCATTTCATGCAGCTCTGCAACGATCACACTTAAAGCTGAGACCAGGCAAAGCCCACACGATTTCTGTTCAAAGCTGAGATTCCCTCTGGTAACTCAGTTAGGTCAACTTTAAATGACATTAAATAATGTTTGTGGTGGCCTTAAACAGGCCCATACTGTCTTCCTCCACAACACCCCAGGCTGCTCCCGTCTCCTCGTACCTGCCCGCAGAGGGGCCAGTTCTGAACCAGAGGGGTCGGCCACCCTCCCGGCCTCGTGTCCCCCCCTCTCGCAGGGCCACCCGGCCCCGCTCTGGCAGAGCCGCTGTTCAGACCTTCAAAGTCTGGGCAGAACTTGCGTACATCCGCCTGTGAAAACATAACATAGATATGCTCCAGCTAATCTTTCGGAGAACAACACGGCCTCTCCCAAAACAGTGATCTGAAACAGCCTTCTGGCCTGTTGAGATATGTAATGAACAACAAAGCAGTTAAAATCAAGAGACTCATTTTCTTGTGTTTTTTGTGCCTGCACATAAAGCAGCAACTGAGGCAAGTTCAAATCCAGGCAAGATAGACACTACCAGCTGCTCTGATAGAAAACTAAGGGTTTGAATGTTTCCGGTAATAAAAGCTTTCTTCATGCTTAATTTTTTTTTTTTTATTATTTTTTTTGAGAAAGATTTCTTGGAGGGTTCAGAAAGGAGAGCTGATGTTTTTTGATGTGCAACTCTGTGGCACGGGAAACCTTGGTGGGTATCTCAGTTACTGCAGACCATTGCATTCCATCTTATTCTTTGTGAGGCCTTCAGACTTGTTTTGGTATTTTTCTGTCTTGACTATGAGGAGCGAAGGCCACTGATCTAACTGTTAACAGCAGTAACCGCTGTTGCACGGGATGGTTGCTGCGGTCTCCTCCCTTCCCCCACCGAAACCCTGACGGTTTGGCAGACAGGTAAAAATTGGGCCCAGAATACTGTTTGCCAAAGCCCGATGCCCTCCTGGCACATTTTTCTCTATTTGCCATTTATTGAACTTGAACCAAGAAATCAATGTCTTCTACACACAAAAACTGGTAAAGTGTGGGGGTTTTAATTGAATTAGCTTGATTTTTTGAAAGGCCCCTTTCCCACCACACCTCCAGTTCAGTTCTGGTGTAACTTGCATTGAGAACAAGTTCTAAAAACGCCCCGCTGTTACCAAACACGAATGCTCACTTGCTAGCAGTTCAGACTAATTCATTTCCTCTATCCTCACCGGTCCTGTAAAACCAGCCAGCATGAAACGCCTTGTCATTTTGGCAGCTTGCGACTATCGCATTTCTCAGAAAGCAAACAGGTCACTTCTCTAGCATGCTTGTACTTTCGTTACAGCCTGCTACGGATGCCTCCCACCGAGATGCTCAAGTACAAGTTCGCACTTCAGATCAGCTGAAGGTGTAGCTCGCTCCGCAGAAAACACAACAGTCCTTTTTACAGGTGCATCTTAAGAGTTAAAAACCAGCACGTGCTTCTGAGGAAGATTAAAACCAGCGTGGAAAACTGCACCGAGTTTGGTTTGTGCCTCTTTTCTTTTTGTCGAAACCCTTTCTCGGCCCTTGTTTTTGTGCTGGCTCGACAAGCAGCCCAGTGGGTAACTCCCAGCCCTTTCTCTGGAGTCCCACCCACATTTGCAGAAGGGGGAAAAAAAGAAAAGGAAAGAAAACCAAACACTGTAAAAAGATAGCCAGTGTTTACTGAGCCTGTCCTTGTCTCCATCTGATAGCATCTGCACCCACCAGCCAGAAGCAGCAGGGCGATTCCCCTGCTCTTCACCTCCGCCTGGTTTTTAGGGAGTGAGCGGGGCGAGCTCCCTTCCCCCCCCAGCCGGGGCCAGAGGGGAAGCGGAAGAAATGAGACTTTTAGCAGCCTGTTTTCTGCCACCATCCCAGCCTTTTCGGAGACTCCCACCACGCAGCAGAAATCCCCGCGCTCCAGAGCGGAGGAGTGGAGCTGGCGGCCAGCTGCTTTCCCCCGAGCATCGTCGGCAGCTGCTGGCGTGGCCACCCCTTTTGGGACGAGGGCTGCCGGCAGGACCCCGGCCTCCCACCGCACACAGCTGCAGGGGGGTCAGAGCCCAGCGGACACGGCAGTCTTGGCAACAGGGCAACAAAGAGCAGCCAGCTCACCATCACCTCATTTCCCGCAGAAAATACTTAACTCTAGTCTTTTGGGTTCGGGCTCTCCAGGATCTGCGGGGAGGGGAGCCTGCGCCGCACGCTAAGCCAAACTCTGTACCGAAACAGAAGACCGCGGGGAGGGCAGAGAGGGTCCCCGTGTTTGGCTTAAGTATTTGCAGGAGTTACGGCCATGGGAGGCGTTTTTATAAACCTGATGAGGGAGTTTCAGTATGAATTTGGTTTTAGCAGCCTGCAGCTTCCAAGGAAGAAAGCTGAGTCAGACGTACCGGTCTCTTCCAACACTCGGCTCTATTCAGTCAAGCAAAACCAGTGCTAAGTCTCTAGCTTTGATACTTGCAAAGAACATTGCTTCAAATATAATCCAACAGCTAGTAACAACACATTATTAGGGAGTTTTTATCAAAGAACTGCGATTTTCAACAGCAGGATTTCTTTGCCTGGGGATACTTAGACTTCAAGACAGATTTACCAAAGATAAAAAGTTGAAGAAACTGCTTTGAAGACATTTATTCTAAAACAGTGGCCCCACTTTACATGAATTAGAGCGTCCCTAAATTTACGCCTTCAGGTAATCTCTGCCTTAATCCTTCTGACCCAGGAGTGGAGCAAGGTTTCAAGGTCAGACACCTCCCAAACTGTTACCTTTCCCTACATCCTAGTATAGAGAAACCTGCCCGCATCATGTCCTCAAGAGTACTAGAGCAGGAACACGGGGTATTTTACACAAAACACAGAGGAAGCAGTACTCTCTAAAGTAGCTGCTCTCGCCCATTCAAAGGCAAACCACACTGAATGATCTCAGACAGGAATTTGAAGACTTCAATGCACTGGAAAGGGCAGATGGGATTTAGTCAATAAACCAATTGTCAGGACAGGATCTCAGTTTTATAATTCATCTAAAAATACCACACACGGCTCAAAGACAGTAACCTGGACCCAGTTTACCATTGATTTGAAAAGCATGACACAAGTGACAAAACATTTTTAACATATACTTAGATCTCAAGCTCTATTTGTGTAACTACTTAGAGATGCAAACATTACCCAAGCCTTGCAAAAGGAGTTTCTGGTCTGTTGTTGCTGCTAAGTGTGGAACAACCAACTAATGTGCAGTAATAAATGTGCAGGAAATAACAAAGGCGGCAATTGCCTTATGACTGTATTAGCAATTTGCATATATTAAAACAAGAGGAGATTCTAATTATTTTGGGATTGCGAGGGGCACAGTGGAATCTCTCTACTGCTTTTGCCCAACATGCTTTGCTAATGTAACGTACAGCCACTAGACTTATCTGGTATTTGTATTTTTTATACTATTAGCAAGGAAGTGCTGAACTCGATACTTCTCAGCAATTACAGTTATTTAAATTGTTGTAAGGTTATTCACTAAATCCCAATCCACTTGAAAACATATGCAGCTTCCAGGACACGGAGCCAAAACCACCCACAGGCAGCTATATGGTGTTTCGCCTGGACTGGGTGTCATACCAGTAAGCCCTTTACAGCCACATTTGCAGACAGCTGTGATCTCATCTAGGATGCTGACCTTTAAAAAAAAGGAAAAAAACTCAACACACCCATGCTGAGGCCCATGAACATGTTACCCGCACAAAGATTTTCTTCAAGTTCCTCTGGAAGAGGCCGATGGTTTTGAGTCAATCAAGTACTAGGTTTTGCTGAGCGTGTCCCATACAGGCTGTTTACACACAGGACAGACAGACAATATGCCGACAGGCTCTGATTTGTCACAGAAATAACGTCCTAACCACAAGAGCAAAAATAAACCATCCAGTTTCGCAGCCGTCTCAGAAGATCGGCACAGATTTTCGCTCATGACTCTGAACAGGACAGAGACGGAGAAAGCCCCGAGCACGAGCTCTCTCTTCTTAAGGTCTCTGGCTCCTTGGCAGCTCCCGAGGAGTCTCCCCCAGCCGAGACCATCAGAGCAGGGCACGCAGAGAGCCGGCGGTGGTGGGGAAAGGACCAACAACGCAGCCAGCAGCAGGGAGAGGCTTCACGACTATGTGCACCGCTGGGGAGAGACTTCGGAGCCGAGCAAGGCTATTCTCAGTTAAACAGTAACCAAATCTTAAATCTAAATCCTTTCTGACAGGAAGGGTGATTAAAAGCTTCCCCCCCTCAAAGCATCCTGCCGCAGGTAAGCTTTGTCAGACAGCTAGACACAAGATAATTTTATACAGCAAAGCAAAGCTACTATAACTTACAAAATGTAAGCCGTATATAAAATACAACTACCTCTGCACTGTGCAGGTTGGGGGGGGGACGGGACAGGGGACATTTTTCTTGTATTTTTAATCTAACCCTGTGTCAGAGAAAGCTCCTCCCAGGCTGTACCATGCACAAATGAAAGCAGCTTTCTCCGAGGGAAGCCAGTAACTCTTTAGCAATGCTTTGCGAGCACAAAACCAGGCACGGACATTGTAAGAATACACAGCCAACTGCACAAAAGCATTTGCTCACCTGATTTTCCCATGATCAAGTGGTTTGTTTTTTTTTTTTTTAATTTCACCCGCTGCCTTCTCTCTTCACTGATTTCTGCCGCTAAGTGCCAGGGAACGAAGCGTTTGCAATTTCAGCTCAACTTCTTCAGTCGCCTGCGACCGCTGCCGGAGAAAACTCAGCAGCATGAACCCGTTACCGCCCCTTCTTCAGCACTGGAGTAAGCCTGCCCATGCCTTATAAGGCATAGGGACACCGCTTTTTTTTCTTAAAAAGATCCTGTTTAGGGTCAGGAGCTATTTATCCTCCACAGTAACCAAGCAGCTCCAAAACACCATATGGTTTTACATACCAATTTAGCTTAGTAATCGCGGCTGTCTTCTGATAAGAGTAGGCTGTGAAAATAAATTCTGCTGACAAATAATTCTGCTGCCACAGTGGGCATAGCCCATGAGGTTAATTCTTACAGCTTAATACTTGTTAAATTTTTACCTAGTTACTGTACATAAAGTTGAAACAGGCAAGTGATAAGGCAGTTCAAAGTATAACTATATTTTATGTCTAAAATAAATCACTTTCTGCACTGTTACAACATTTTCTGTAGAAGGTATTAGTAAAATGCAGCATAAGATTTTGCAGGTTACAGAGGAACTGTGCTGATGGTGTATTTCTGTAAAAACAGTTGGATGTGTGTATGCCTCATTTTATCTGTGCAAGCACACTTTGCCACTGTTGTCTTCACACTAGATCAAAACACCTCAAGGTAATCTGGCAAATATTAACTACTTCAACTACGGCAAACACAATACTTTGACTTAACTTCAGAAGTGCTGCATCTCTCCAAATGTTAATTCAGTTACGTGTTTCCAACTTTCATCTTTTCATCATCACAAAAAATCATCTGAGGTTACTGCTTCCCATTTTTTTACAACGCTTTTCAAAATTTTGAGATTCTATTTGGTTTTGTGCCAAGTCTGCTGGCTCAGGGGGTTTTAATTATCCTTTATCTACCTCTGGAGGCTGAGCTCCAAGACGAGAAAAGAAAAGAAAACTCAGAAATAAAAAGATGTAGGGTGGTTTTTTTTCCCTTTTTAAACAAGTAGCAGCAGCAGGTGGGGAAAGCCAACATCCCTTCACCAATCCACTGCTCCTCCTGAGGCTGTTTCACTGGCAAGGGTGAAACAGAGGCCGAGGGGGTGTCACTGTCTAATAGCTGATGGGATCACTAAGAAGAGGTATGGGGGCAATCGATCACTACCCAGAAAAGGAAACTGCAGGGCGTGAGATCCCGCTCATCTTCACAGCTGCCTGACGCTTCCCTTCGCCGGTACCAAGGCAGGCAGCAGAGCAGAAGAAGAGGTCAGAGAAGATGCAGGAGGAAATCTCTTCCCACTCCCTCTGCCGTGAGTGGCAGTAGTTGGCTGAGGAGCTGGGTGGAGAGCTGGAGCTGGTACTATCAGAGCCCTTTATCTGGAGGCGAAAGCCGCTGTTTTATTTGCTTACAGGAGTGAACAAACCATGGACCGGTCTGTGAACCCTAGCCTCCAAAAATGCTCTGCTAAACTTGAAATACTGGGTTGCACTACTCCGAGGACATACATCAGTGCTCAGCAATACCCTGTGCCACCCTATGGCTGTAACAAGGAGTTGAAGGGAATTTAAATTTGCGTAGCTGGGAGTCTCTGGTATTTGAAATGTTCATTTATATCCTTATAGTTGATTGTTATATTTTATACTGTTTATGTTTTAGATCTTTATAAAATTCAGTTGCATTATAAAGCAACATCCCCTCGGGAACTGGACTGCTACTAAGAAAACAGCATCAAGATCTTCAGAAGTGACCAGAGACACCTGCATGCCATTTTCACAACATCCTGTGCAATCATAACTTGGAAAAGAGGGTTTCTCTGATCTGGCAAAAATCTAGTGTTAACCTACAGGAAAAATATGGTGCTTTTTCTGATCAGAAAACAAGGAAACCAAACTCACTGCTCAGGCATGAAATGTGTAAAGTATCAGTGCAAAGTAAATGCAATGACTCATCAGAGACTGGAAAGCAGTGTAAGCTGAGATACACAAAAACAAAGACGAAGGGGGGAGATGGGCTTTTTTAGCATGTTAACATTACCTGCTGAAGTTTCTACCCTAACAAATATTGCTGATCTTATCAGATGGAAATTTGGAGGAAGTATGTACGCTAGTAATTAAGAATGTAATCGAGTCTTTGAAAATAATGAAAGCAATTAAATAAAAGCCACTGCTAGGGAAAATTGCATACTGTAAATCACTAATATCCTTTTACCAGTTTCAGGTAGTATCAAACATACCGGAACCTGAGAGGAAACAAACGGGATTTCCCATTTGCTTTATGATGTATCAGAGCACCCCTCCAAATGCACGCTTGTTTAATTACTGCATGATTCCTTTACACAGAGATGACACTGGTATTATCCAACAGTGGGCATTGGAAACTATCTTACAGAAACAGAAATGCCCTGACACAATCAGATCTGAGTCCAGCATTCTGCCTCCTATAGCAACACCTACTAAACATTTCTAGAAAAGATGCAAAAAAAGTGCAATGTGGATTGACTCATTTTTAATTGTTCCATTTTTCTGCTCAAAGGAAAACAGAACAAAAACAGCTGGCTGGAAAAAATAACACTTAACTAGTAAAGACTGGTGTAATAAATATTCTTTCTGGAAATAGGTTATAGAGTACATAAGAAGGAAAAATGCAATTTGAAAGGAAGTGCTTGAATCATTACAATCAGGGAGTTAGAGATAATTCATCTGCAGCAGAGCTTTCATCTGCATCCTGAAAATCTGTGGCTAAAATTTTGGTGTCAAACTGAGTATGTGGCATTCAGATGACAAAACATCTTCTATCCTCTCTTCCCTTTTCTCCCAACAAAGGAAATCCATTTTACCCATCTGCATCAACCGCTTCTCTTTCCCTCGGTGTGACTGACCCTAATGCTCGCAGCCTCATAACCTCCTCTGGTGCCACCATATGTAAACCCACATCCTTCCCCTGCTTTGCTTTCCTGTCTCTTCTGGAAGCTTCCTGCACCTCTTCCCACCAGCGATTTCTCTTTGCTGTCCCCAACCTGCCCTGTGCGACCTGCTGTTCACATTGTGATCAACCCTGGGTAGCCACAGGCACTCCTGTGGTGCCCCACAGATTGCCTCAGGGCACGTGGACCCGGCAAGGCCAGTGTGATGGAACTGGCAGTGTGAATTTCCGGGCCTAGCTGGGATTGTGCTGCTGCCTGTTGTCTCACACAGCTTAGTCTTCACGGCCACGTGCGGACAGCCTCCTCTGTTCCTCCAGTACCTTCCACGAGCCAGCCACATATGGCTAAATCTGTAGAAACTCAGGACTAAACAGACGTCTTTCTGATAGAGCAAGAAACCCCAGGCAGACCCCAGGTCACCCGTTGTCTTCCCAGAGGTTTGCCTCCACACAGCTGAGCACCCATCTCCATCTGGCAAGAGAACCCACCTCAGCGGGACTCTGCACTGTTGCGAAGGCCCCAGTAGCATCACGGATTTCAGCCTGCAGATTTCTGTTCCAGCAGCAGTGCAAGTGATGAAGTAACATCTGGCCAGCTGCTGCCTGTGCAGATCCCCAACTGCTTGCAGCCAGGTTCAGACGCATTTAAGAAGGCCTGAGATGAACCTTTTCACGTGTGCATGCTCTAATGGGTCCAGTTGATGCAAATGCCTGTCATCATTAATGTTTTGAATAGTTAATTCATTCCATCAGGTGGTATGAATCAGGTACAATTAGGCACCCACACAGACTGGGACAGACATATGATAACACTGTCATACATAAGCCCTGCCAAGGAGGTCTGTATGCTTCCCAGCCTTCTTTTAAACACAACACTAAGTTTCTCCACAAGTCAAACCACGCATACAAAAACTTTGTGAGCAATACTAAATGTAACAAATCTGTTCTCCCCAGAGACTTTTAACAAGTGACCCTAAGGACCAACAGTATTCATATGAATATAAATACATCACACATGAATAACGTCATATATGGTGACAAGAACCATAAAATTAGGCACCAGACTATCAATCAACTAAAAAACCGCATATTGAGGTAAAAGGAAAACAGGGCAAAAATGATGGTAGAGTATTAGAGAATGTTCTTCCTGTTCCACTTTTGCCAGGCTTTGCTTGTGGGACCCAATCTGGTATTGCCATTTCACCTGTAAAGTAATCCAGGCTGCACAGCAGGTCACAAAAATTCAACTTCAACACAGTTGCAGATGTTAGTTTTTCTTGCAAGAGGAGATCTTAATCTCTGCTTTCTAGTTTGACCATAACTCTCAGATGCTGAAGAAAATGAAAAGAACTGAGCTGAAAAGAGCAAGAGTACAAAAGCAAGGCTATTCCTCTTTTCTCAGCACTGTGCTGCTATCGGCTGGCCACATCCACAAAGCCCTCACACTGAAAACAGGAGACTGTCACTGCAGAGTAGTCATTGACTTTAACTTCTTCCTACACATTGAAAGATAAAAGCAGAGCGTGATTAATCACCAACGGTCTTGAGGGCTGGATTAAAAAAAAAGGTTTGGGGGACAAAATGCAAGAATACTGTTGTCCAAAGGAGAGTGTGGCACAAGCACTGCCTTTCTCTCCAGAGGCCCAGCACCCTCCCCAGCTGACATTCTTCAGGCTCTGTGCTCGGCCATCTAAACGTCTGAGAGCACAAATACACAAATCTCACCAGAGCCAGGCAGTGAAATGCCCACTTCAGCTCAGGGTGTTCCTCAACATGGGCCATACTACTGGGCTTGTAGCTTCAGAAAAGAACCAGAGGAAAACCCTCAGCATGGTTGCTCTCAACTAGCTCCAAGCAGGAGCCTCCATAAGAAGTGTCACTTCCCACCTCTGCAGATGCTCAGAGTGCCTCCCCTGCACCCTGCCAGGGAGAAGGACATGGAGCCCCTATGGCTCTGTAAGAGGCAGGGGAAAGCTCAGCCTCAGGGTACAGAGGAGCTAAGGTAAAGAGCGGGAAGAGAGGGTACTCTGGAAGGACTTCTGGCACAAAAAAGGATTTGAGGGCATTCAAAAGCAAGAGAGTTTTCTGTCAGTGCTACCAAGTGTTACCTCTCTCCTCCAAGGCTGCAGTGGGCTGAACACTACCTGGCGGATGGTGTTAGGACACTTTATGGGCTCTCTGCTTCAGCACAGTACCTCAGGCTGAGGTTAAATGCCATTTTTCCAGGACCACTGCTCCGTGGCTATGGTAAGAAAAGTCCAGTGACAGCCCAGATGAGCACAAATACACAAAGGAGTCAGACGACTAGGCCAGCTGCTGACCTCCAGTAGTGGTATATCCATACATAAACACACTGACTTTGCAGCATCTGTGGTTTTGCCACCTTGTGCATATCCCCACAATCTACTACTTTTTATATCACATCCACATACGCAGTAACCTTTGTTTTAGCAAAACCTCATCCTACTAACTGGAAGCACCTCCTGCTTAACAGCCACATTTTTAGCCATTACATTAAAATATCCTTGTATATGAACCACTGTATGAGTCAGAAAGTAAATTTGAGCAGTTACTCATGAATGAGATCACACAATTATGATCGGTCCTGAAAACACCAGTTTAAATGATCAGAAGAAGACAAGAAAGTACATCCGATATTGGGAGTAACTAGAGAAGAAACAAAGGCAGTGGCAGATTGTGGTACTGTTTAAACCTCTGATTTGCTTGTGCCTTGAATTACATGGGTAGTCCTGGTTTCCTGATCTTAAAAAGGATACAGCAGAAGTGGAAAAAGATCCTAGAAAGGCAACAAGGGCATGGAAGCTTCATACAAAGAACAGGGCTTTGAGCAACCCGATCTAGAGGAAAGTCACTGCCCCTGGCAGGGGCATTGGAACTAGATGATCTTTAAGGTCCCTTCCAACCCAAACCATTCTATGATCCTATGATTCTTCAGCCACGGGAAGAGATCATGGAAAAGGAAATTACAGACATTACTACAAGATGATGAGCAACACAGGTGGCTCATCACTGTTGACTGTGTCCTCCAATACAGGAATGAGAGTACATTAAAAGAAGCTTGTGGGAACAAGGTTAAAAAAAATGGATGTGGGATGCAACAGAGAAGGTGCTTTGGCAAGGAGTTTTTATTTTTGTGCACATTGCCTCTTGTCCTACCAGCAGGCACTACTGAGAAGTGTGTGTCTTGTCTCCCTCTCTTTCACTCCCTCCCTTCAGGTATTTATACATGCTGATGAGATCCCCCCCTGAGCTTTCTATTCTCCAGGCGGAACAGTCCCAGGTCTCTCAGCCTCTCCTCACAGGAGATGTTCAGTCTTTGTGACCCTCCACTGGACTCACTCCAGTACGTCTGTATGTTTCTTGTACTGGCAAGCCCAGTAAAGACTGCCCAGTAAAGACTTCCCAGTGAAGACTGAGGCACAGAAGGCATCACCTACCTCGGCCTTTTCTGCGTCCTGCATCACCAGGCCCCCGCTGCATTCAGCAGTGGGCCACGTTTTCCCTGGTCTTCCTTGTGCTGTTTACGTACTAGTAGAAGCCTTTCCTGTTGCCCTTCACGTCCCTCACCAGATTCAAGTCCAGGTTGGCCTTGGCTTTCCTAACCCTGTCCCTGCAAGACCAAACAGCAGCTCTATCGTCCCGCTGGGTCACCTGCCCCTGCTTCCATCTCCTGTACGCTTCCTTATTACGTCTCAATTCAGTTAGAAGGTCTATATCTGTTCCTCCATGTCACTCCTCCATCATCTCCTCTCCAGCAGCTTTCCAATCTGACCTTTTCATCAGACTCTTCTCTTCACAATTCCCCTGCATGATTTTCATTTCCGTATTAGTGACCCATTCAAGTCCTCAAATATAAACTCCAGCACCATCACATCTGCATTCATCACACAGCTTTGGTTCAGACTTTGTACTCCTAAAGAGTGCTGTTTACCACCCCGGGGCTATGCCTGTCCTAGCAAGTAGTTCAGCACAGCGGAGGCAGATTTGTATGGAGAAACCTGATGTTAAAGCTAAACGTTTCACTGACTTTCATCTTGACCTAAGACTAGCTCAAGGCCAGCAGCATGGAATGAATACCCAACAGCAGCTGTAGCATATCTCTGGCTATATTCAATCCAAAAATAATCCATTTCACACCCAGAGACAGTTCCATAGTGCAAACTAATGAGTGCCGGAATGCTAACTGAGATGGGCAGTGGAGTATCATCTAGCCCTGCTTTTGCTCATCTCTTTCTACTGTTGATTCTGTGTCCGTATAATTTCATCCAACTCACCTGGCAGAGTCTTGACTTATCTCACTGGTACATGCAATGAATTTGCAATGGCACTGCTCATCTACCTTGTTAGCTAACAACATCATAGTTGATTTTCCTTAGGCAAGATTTCTCTGGCATTACTGCTTTGTGTTTTCCTTCCTTTGACTACAGAACCACAATTAAATCCAGGAAAAGTCAAGCTAATAAATCCAGAAAGAAAACACGATTTTTGTTCAATTATATTGTTTAGTATTTTTCCCCTCAATAAATACTTTTTCCCTTAGCAGTCTTCCAATACACTGGATTTTAGATGCAACAGGCACACTTTCAAAAAAAATCCCAGCAACCACTAACACCAAGAACGAGGGCACTGCTTATCACTAGCAGTTGGTATTGGAGTTGCTAAAACGTTGCTGGAAGTAGGCATCTGAGCAGGACATACAGCACACAGACACCTCTGCAGTGAATACGAGGCTACTCCCAATGCCTAGTTTTTTTGTTCTTCTTTCCCTCTATGCTTCCAATCAAATTGCAAAGCCACCTCTGTAGAGGGAAGGGCTAATCAAAGAAGGATGAGGAAAACAGATGCTAATTCCATAGCAGGCATCTCCCGGGCTGCACACCTCCCCAGTGGTACTGCCAGGGAAAGTGAGTCCCACCAGCAGACGGCTTTGCTTGCCTTCTCAGGGGGACGGCTGGGAGTAGCGGGGTGTCACCCCTCACCCCTGTGCCAGGACATCGATGATGGAGCTGGACTGATTTTTAGCCAAAGCAGACTAATGGTCTGGCTAATTCTATCTGTAAGTCCTACTGCTTTCTTGAAAGAGGCAGTAACGGTGACATGGTCCAGACTGTCCTTTCACAGTTCTTCTAGTACAGTTAAAGCCCCTGCTAAAACTGTGTTCTTGGGAGTAGTGCACCCTGAGGCAAAAAAATTAAAAAGCTCCTAAACTGTGAAGAAATAATAAAATTGCACATGTATGTCAGGTCTGTTGTGGATCTTCTTTCATACCTCCCAGTTCAGGGATCTTGCCCTTATCTGTTCATGTTGCTGAAAGCTCTGTCACCACAAGTTTACACCCTAGCATTTGCCCTGGCTTATCTCCTGGCTATGCTATTTTCCACCTCTTCCATTCCTGCATGAGACTCTTACCGTTCCCTTTTTTCTTTTTTTTGTATGAACCAACCTGAACCAGCTTTTCTGGCAGTTTGCAGCTCTCTGCAAACCTTTTACATTGACTGATATTCAGAGAAACATTTCAGATGCTCCTATCATACTTAGTGCCAGCTCTCAGTTTTAAAGTCCTAGGATTGCGGGAATTTCAGCTATTGCTTTTTCTTTTTTAAAGGTTGTTTTCTAGACCACTTGCTCATGAAGAAAATCCTGACAGTGTCACCTGTAAGAAACAGATGGCAATTTATTTTTAAATAATGTAGGCATCAAGCTATTCTCAAGAAAACTACAGTTTCTGAACAGTGGGAGATGATAAATCAAATTGGAAACTTGTCTTCGGATGCTCAGCAAGTGTTTGGGGTTTTTTTCCCCATCAATTCTGTCCCTTTGTCTTTTCACTCAGAACCTTCTAATGGAATCCTTGCTAACATTCAGTTCACTTTCTTAGCTCTGTCAGCTCATTTACATACCTGTATTTTCAATACACCTTTTTTTTTTAAAAACTATTCAAGATCCTGTATAGATAGCACATGTGACTGAAAACATCATATTTATGACTATTTATGTAATTTTAAAGTCTTTTTTCTATTACTTAAACTAATAGTACATCAAATAATGTACAGCCAATATTAAAGTTGACAAAAATTAAACATTTTGAGTCTTTCATGTGGATTTTAGACAGGATACTTTGGTTTTCCTATCTTATCCTTTTGTCTGATATAATTCTAAAGGCAATATTTCAATTTTTCTATTTCAGACTACACATCTACACGTGACTGCATTCTGTCTCACCAGCATTATTCAGCACTGCCCATGAGCAGTACCTTTCATTTCCCTTTTTTCTTCTTTGCTTGTTACTTAGCACTTTTAAGACATTGATCATCACACATAATTTGAATACTACTTATACTGTTTTACAAAATCATAAAAATTACCAGCATTAAGTTTGTGAGTAGATAACCTCAAGCAAGAAGGTAAAGAAAATTCCCTAAATCTCTAAGATCAGCTGGAGTCTGTACTACCACCTTTAGGCTGTACTACCACCCATCGGTTTAAAGCAGAATCAACAAAAGCAGTGGAATGGACAAAGCCTCTACTCTGCTGTTGCAGCACGGCCTGCAGCAGTAACCTAGCCCCTACAAGGCTGTGAATCCCAACAGTTGAAGACTCCTCATTCCTGATGGATTTAGCTGCAGTGGCTAGAGAGATTACCAACCTCCATTATGGCCCTTTTTGACCATAGCTAAATCTGATGGGGATTTTGCCTTTTCAGGGTAGGGCTTCTGTCTGGGCATATGGGGTTTTCTTGGTAGCTGGCCTAAGACTAGAATTTTTTTCTACAAAAACTGAAGAAGTTTGAAAGTGTCATCACTTCTTTTTTTTTTTTTTATGGGAACTTTAAAATATTTACCATTTTCAAATGTAAAGTTCTCATCATAGATGTAGATACAAGCTATCTTTCTCATTCTGGAAGGTGTTTCACTCAGGATCACTCTAGAGCTCAAGATGTTAGTATTTGGAAACAGTTCCTGTGCAGGACAGAATCTAAATTAAGCTTGCTACTGATTTCTTAGTATTGCAGGTAAAACTACTTAACCTTGAAGGTTGTTTTCAGCAGAAGTAATGAACTACTATGGGTTTTGATAATGTCAATGTAATCCAGTGCATCTTTAAATAATTTATTATTTGGTCAGATAAATCAGCAAATCTGTTTCTTTTCACATCAGTAACGTGCATCTTTCTACAATTTCTTTAGGCTTTATAGCACCTGCAGTTATCATTGCTCAAGAGTGGAACAAGATGTGTAGGTCCAAAAATAATTAAATACAAGTATGAATCTTTATGTGCCTACTTCAGGCATGGTTTATCACATAACCAAATACTTAGGTAAGACAGAGCACATTGATTTTTGCCCAAGACCTACAAAAAATGTGGACCTCTAACATTCAGTCCATCTTGCATATCTTGTGAATGAAGCTTTTGTTGTGTGTATATATATATATCTATATATACACACACATACATCTTACAGTAAACAGGTATGGTTTAGTAAGCCACAGCATTAGCTTCAACTAGACACTTGCCTAAAATGTACCTAACTACAAGAATATAAAAACTTTTAGCATTATCTCTGCTAGGATAACTAAAATCTTTGCTTCATGTCACAGAACTGCTTTTGGAGCCTACCAATTTTGACTTCACAATCTTTAATTTTTACTAACTGTTGCTTCAGATACTGTTTAGAACCTGGTCCCTGCTGCTGTTGGGAGACAAAGCCATGTGGTTTTCAAAGCTTTTATCTATTAATATATATCTAATCCTTGCTCTACAACTGCGTACCTTTTTCTGTGCTTGCAACACAAAATCAGCAGACATGTTGTTTCCCTAATGCATACCTTATTCCTCTGAAATTTGAATTTCAGGTATTTGTAGTGAGCTATATTGGCAGTAAAACAGCAGTGGTAAAATTGTTGTTCAGAGGAATACAACAATTTATGATTAACACCCACTAGGTATTATACGAGGCTGTATGCAAAAAGGTTCTCAGAAACAGTGGTGCAGTTCGATACCGTCAGGAGAAATGCAAGACCACAACAGGGGTTAGAGAGCTATTAGTTTATTGGTAATATACTCACACTGCAATCAGCGCAGGAAGCCCCAGTAACCACATGGAGGGTTGCGAGGGAAAACCTGACAGTGTGGTCAGGCACCTGACAGAGACTCAGTCCAGGGACATCCCTGCCTCAACTTGGATACTTTTCCTTTTTGACAGCAGGTTATATATACATCAAGCCCACCTGGTTACACATCAAACAATGCAATACTGCAATAATTAGCAGCTGAGGTCACTGTGACCTGATGATCATCAGTGGGGGCAGGATGTTGGCTTTGTGAACTGGGACTAGATCACGTGCATCAAGCCATGTCCTTGACTCCTCGCCGATCTTTCAAGTTCTCCCCTTGCAAGTTGTACATCCCAACACGGCACATTGCTCTGTCCGAACTGCAGGGACCAGGTTCCAAAACTTGAAGTAGATGGTTTTATGCATAGTTTTTCTTTTCACCTCAATCAGTACATTAGAAGGAAGGAAAAAAAAAAACCCACAACCAAAAAGACATCCTTGTGGTATAGGTATTTACACTTGTAACAGCACAGAAATTTATGTGTTAGAAGATTTATATATAAAAGTATGTTTCCTATTATGTCCCTATTTAAAAAAAAAAATTTAATACAGAAGGATTCTTAAGTTCTTTCCCAAATATAATCTGAAAATTTATACTGTGTTTTAGGAAGATTTTTGAAATAATGTACACAAACAAAGATTACCTGAAAATACTGCCTGAAGGAAGACAATGAGAATCAGAATGGCAATATGCCATCAACAATGCTCAGAAATGCAGCTCTTTTGAGGTTAGCATTTCTTTTGTTCACTTGGCAGTCTCTACTCTGGCTGATTCATATCAATCCCAAAGCAAAAATCATCAATAAGGTGCTTCGTTAAGACACGGAAAATAGTCTTCAGTCTTGAAGAGGACTGGAGGTTCATAGAGGGTCTGTTGTTGTCGTGAAGACGACGGTTTCTGCAAATTAGATAAGTTTATTTTTTACCTTCTTAGAAAAGCAAGTTTTAAAACAAAGCCTACAGACCTAAAATGCAAAACAAGAAAAGTTTTAAAGGCATGTCTCCTTAGTCCGGCGAATTTTTAACCATAGGTCAGATAGGTCTGGCATATTCTTAATGTTAGTGAAGAAAAGCAGCCTTTGACTTTTGCCATTCTTTCACCTGAACAGACTCAGTCCCAGAGGGTGTACGATATGCCAGCTTTGCAGAAGCCAAATGGGCAATCTTTTCCAGCTGATGGTATAATCATTGTAACCTTCATCCTTCCAAAGCCATATACCTTTACCTTTCCTGCTCCGGCCTTTGAGTTCTCCTCAGCTGCTTCCTTGGAGTTAACCCTAGCCTGTGTGCTCATTTACTTAGTTAAAAAAGTCTTCATATGGAAACACACCTAGCAAATGTTTCTTCCAAGAAGGTTGCTGCTCCCGCTGAGCTTCTTTATCAAGTACATATTAGAACATATGTACTATGACATACCATCAGAAATAATATGGTAGTGGACTGGAAAAGAGCTGTCACACTGTTTTTCAGGAAAAGTGCACATGTTTCTTTTAAATATTACCTGCACATTGTTTTGTTATACCAAACAGCCCATTTAAAGAGACAACAGCAAGGACCACTACCGACTATTGTGTCAGCCTTCCTGCACGTAAATAACACTGCACTGCAACCAGACCCAGTGCATGTTTTCAACATACGGTCTTAAATAGAAGGCTTGAAATCAAGACTTCATTCATTAAAAATTCTTTTGGACTCATGAAAAGATTTTGATGAACCATTTTGCAGAGCTCTTAATCAGTTTGTCTGCAGAGTTCTTCAGGCACTTTTTTGCCTGTCTGGGATGAGAAAATTAGAGTCTTCACTGATAATAAAGTTCAAAGCATACCAAGTATCATTAATATACTTGGAGTTTGGAATGCTTTTACAGCACCAAAATGAGGATATAATTAAGCATACCTACAAAAGAGCTAAGTGGAATTTTTCCAACATTCAGTTGAGCTATATACTTGCTCTCCATATGAAACAAGTACATATTCTGCCATTATATAAAAAATTGCTGATTTATGTCTTTTAAATTACATTTGCCTTTAACGTTACAGGACCATTAATTTCCCCGAAGTAAGTTTGTTTTGTCATTCAAGTTGTAAGGAAATAAAAAAATATAAACAAAGATCAGATCTATAAATAGTGGATATTATCAATGTATCAGAAATTTTGCCAAATGTAAAAACAATCTTTGAAATCAAAGTTCTGTCTTTAAAATTTATTTCCTATCCTGTACTGCCCTATGAGAAAACACCTTGCAAGCAAGGGAAACTAAGGTCACAAGCATTCTGCAACTCATGACACCAATTTAAGAGGCGCTATATTTGCATATGCGCAAGAAGAGGATAATTTCAATCCAGTGAGGAAATTTCCTGGGCAGGCACAGTACCCACAGTTGCCTAAGTACACATTTATGATTAGTTTTGCAGCTGCTTAGCAGACATTTTTACCTTTTGAGAGAGTCTACATCCTTAGTGATATTAGAGGTCTTACAGTACTGTACTTTACACTGCCTGGTATTCACAAGGGAAGAACTTGGGGCAAAATCTGAAAGTGAGATTACAAATACACAGCTTGAGAAATACAAAATATATCCTTTGTGTAAAGAAATAGCTACATTTAAATGGGAAGAGAGTCAGGGGACTTGACTAGGTTAAAATTGTAGCAGGAAAATGTGAACTACAGCTGCAATGAAAATCATGACAGAGTACAGCCTTCTTTTCCAAAGCGTTTGTATTTTGAGTGAGCTAGTTAAGTGTTAGGCATTTTCATTAAGACATGCTTGTGTTTACTAGTGAAAATAGATACTTTACCATGCAATACTCAGTACCACTGTGCAACAGTGACCTGCCTTTTAGTTAATCAATTAATGCCAGGAAGTTCCAAGTGTTGATTTTAATGCTATCCATACTCAAACCAAGAAACCACTGGGCATGACAGGTTCAGCTTGCTGACACTTTCGAAGACACTTTCCACCTTATTAATTGTGGAAAAACTGCTAAGCTGACAGTGTTCCCATGCAACACTAAAAAAGCACTTGCTTAGAACTTTCAAACTTTCTAATTGAAGATTATAATTCCATGGTTAACAACTGTTTTTAGCAACAAGATGGAAAATACTGTTGAATATTATTCAAGGCAACTGCTGCACTTGTTTCTTTTTGTAATTGGCTCATAAATAGCAGCTTTGTGTTATTTTTTTAAAAGAAAAAAATGACATCACTCTAAACTTAAACACCAAAGAAAATGAAGGAATGAGAAGTTAATTAACTTAAAGATTGCACAGAAAATAGCAGTGAAGAACAGCTTTCCTGAACTGTCTTAACAAGCCACACAGGCTTGCAATATGTAGGAACACAAGTTCCTCAAAACCCCACAACGATCTTCTCCTCCTCCCCTGCAAACTTAGTTTATTTCAGCACTCTCACCAGTATTACGACACAGAAACCTGAGTTAGTACAGGATGAATATAGGAAAAGACACAGAAAAGAATCTGGGAGCTGACAAGATGCAAGGAGGAGTATTTATAAATGGTGTACTGGCAGGTGATGCCAAGAAGCATCAGGTGTTCAGAAGACTTTTTTTCTTTTTTTTTTTTTTTTTTTAAACCAGAAAGGTTATTTTAAAACTAGGGCATAGTGCCAGTTTAAGGTTAGGTTAAGGCATCTCTTTGAAACATACCAGAGAGAGCACTTCAAGTCTTCTGTAGAGAAACAGCCCACATGTAGTAACAAGGAAAAACAGAGAAAACCCCATCCTTAGAAAGTGTAACAAGGTACTTACATGATTACTGAACTGTGTGGATTGAGTATAAATAGAACTTTATTTTAAAAATATTGTGCTGCATAGCTTTCATTTCCTTTTTTGGTAACATTTCTGCAGTGATATTATCAATGCAGTATGATCCTTTAACAGTGTTTTCTGTACAGGCTCCTACTACTTGCTTCACATATTATCAGAGACTGGGGTACTTCAGTATAAAGACTTGTGCATTATATGCTTGTTTATGCCCTTCACGCTCCCTTCTTTGTGTATTCAGCCTTGTTTTGGAAAGTTACACAAATCCTTGTAAGAATTTGTGATTTTTAAGTTTGGGATTTTTTGTATTAAGTCTAAGAACTTTGCAAAAATCCTAATAAAGTACATAAAAGCTTTACAGTGGAATTCAGATATATGTGTAACAAACTATTATTTTAATCATCTACTCCGGTAAGCAGAGCAACTAAGCTGGTCATATGGTAACAAAAGTTTACTTACATTAAGGAAGGATGGCATGCTGATTGTGTGCAAGATTTTCTTGAATGTGCTCGGAAAAGCTCCAAGGTCTGTTTCTGCCTTTATGACGCGTTCTTCCAGTCCAGCTACGCTATTTCCAATCATCTTCACAAAAGCCTAGTGTGAAAAAACCAAAAGAAATCCAACTTTTTCACTTACAAATTAAACCAGGATTATGTATTGCACAACAGTGGAGAAAGTTCCATTGCTTAAATGAGGAGTCAAAAACTCCATGCTCTATTTCCCTTCCACCTACAAGTCCATTTTATTCCTAAAAATTACTTGAAATACTTAAGAGGCTGCAAGAACAGCTTAAATCTAATAAAACAATCAGTTCTCCTTTTCCTACTTGCCTTTCAAATAACTAATTTAGACCTCTTAGAATCTAGACTTCTATCTGCCTTTCTACTAAAAGTGGGACCAAGGATCTGAATCACAGATTTGAAGCTTTACCAGGGATCAATAGGTCTCTCATTCTACTAGTCTCTGAACAGCTCCCAAGACAATAACTTTGCAAGACATTATTAAAAAAAACCCAAAACCCAAAACCCCCAAACTAAACCCAAAAAGGAAGAAGTGGTACTACTGCCTTCTGAAAAAAGATGTCTGCCTTGCTTCAAGCAGGAAACAAACAACAACAAAAAAAGCATTTTTTTTTAAAAAAGGCATTTTGTTTTACAACGCCCACAGTCTCCAGAAATTCTTAATAAATTGTGCTCTCTTTATTAACCCTGAAATATTGAACCCAGATTGGACATGGAGAGCAAAACAGATCTGAGCCCACTCCACATGCATGCATGCACACACACGATTATAGCATATCATTGATTCTTCCTCCCTGCTAAAAAATGGAATACATCTAGAAGATATCAAATACATACCTCTAGTTTGTCAATCTTCCTGTATATCTGTCTCATTTCCGTAGCTTTTGTGTAAATCTGAGGTATGCTTTCGTTGACAACTTGAGAGGAATCACTTCGAATCTAAGATGATTCAAAAAAATAATAAAAAAAAAATCAATGAATAAAAACGTTTAGTAGATTTCACTCTGGAAACTAGAACTTGCTCCAGTTAACAGATTAAAAGTCATAGTTTAAAAATATCGGATTAATATTAGAATAAAAATACTAGATTAAAACTAATAAGCTAGCTTCTTTGTACGGTTTAGTAAGTGCCTTTGAAGAAAATTTATTTTGCATATGCAGATATTTACCTTTATGGTTATATTAAAAATAGGCTGCTACAGCCTTATCAGAACGAAGAGATAGTACATTTCCCAAGACATACTAAAGAATCAAACATAGTAAACTAAAATTTTTACTTCAATTCTACTATCTCTACGTTTCCCCACCTTTGCTGAAAAAGTCAGGCCACAAAATCTTGTTTTATTGGTATTAAAAAAAAAAAAGCAATATAGTAAAGTTCCCCGTAGAGTAGTCCAGGAGAACCACATGTGCTATGCTTTAAAAGACAGACTGTATACCAGAGTCAGCTTATAGAAACTTTCCATTCAGTTCCCCCATCTCCCCCCCATGTGAAAGTGAAAACAAAGCTGCCTTTCTGATGAAAGGGTAAGAAAGGGTAAGAAAGGGTCCCCTAAAGACAAATCTAGCTTTGGAGGTTTGGCAAATCCGATTAGATACTTTGATTACAGAAACCACAGAGGACGTCTTTACGTATTTTAAAGAAGCGACAGAATACCACACTCTTCTTTTGAACAGCTGTCATTGCACCAGTCAAAATGGGATTCCACGTATGTACACAGGCAAATATATAAATACAATTATGTAACTATGCAGTTAAATAGCTATATAGGCATATTTTGCTCCGACGTGAAAGTTCGGTAGTTTTTGACCACGAGTTATCTAATTATCAAACGCGTTTCCATACTGGAACCTGCGTAGACCAAAGGCTGCTTCCTATCTCCGTCTCATTTAAAAACACAAGCACACATTAGACTGTATTCTGACTTCAAAACCACAACTACGTGCAGGTTATACACACCATGTCCAGCATTCCCACAAATTCATCCACTCTGGTCAGCAAATCTTCTAGACTCTTGTCTAGGCTTTCTATCTGCAAAACAGAAATCCTTTAAGGGCACGTGAAAACACGAGGAACCCGCAGACTCTCCCAAACAAACCCTCCGAGCAGACCTCAGCCAGACTAACGCCAGCTTCGCAGCAGCTTTCCCATCTGCCGGCCACGATAAACTCAAGGACTCGACACACCGGCAGCGCCTCCTCCGGCACGAAACTCCCCCCTCAGGCCGTGTAACCGGCGCAGCGGGACGGCCCGAACCCGGCACGGCCGGCGACGCCTCGCTCCGTCCGCCGGACAGCCGGGAAGGGCCCGCCGTTCCCTCCCGCTCCCCGGGGCGCTCGGCAGGCCCGGCCGCAGGGACGGGACGGGACGGGGACCGCCCGCTCCGCCGAGGGGCCGCAGCCCCCCTCACCTGCTCGCTGAAGAGGCTGCGGTCGGCGAGCAGGTAGGCGGAATAGGCGGCGGCGGTGGCGCTGAGCGACGCCTCCGAAGCGTCCTCATCCTCCGGTTCCCCGAGGCCGGAAGCGCTGCTGTGGCTCTGGGAGACGTTCCCGCTGTCCGCGCCGGGGCAGGCGTCCGCCAAGTCGGCCCCGGCCCCTCGGCCCGCTGCCGCGGCGGCCGCCATGCT